CCTCTGAGGTTGTGTATGTGTTGTTCTGTGTGTCACTCCTTTCTTTGGTAACCAAACTATATGATGCAATAATTGATTGAAGTTTAGTTTATTTCATGGTTGGCTGGTTGTTTGGTTGGTCGATGATTTGGTATCTCTTTTGGTTGACAGTTTGACTGATTTCTTGGACGATTGGTTGTCCTTTGAGATTGTGTATGTGTTGTTGTGTGTGCCACTCCTTTCTTTGGTAGCCAAACTATATGATGCAATAATTGATTGAAGTTTAGTTTATTTCATGGTTGGCTGATTGTTCGGGTGGTCGATAAATTGGGAGCTGTTTTGGTTGACAGTTTGACTGATTACTTAGACGGTTGGTTGTCCTCTGCGATTGCCTATGTGTTGTTCTGTGTGTCAATCCTTTATTTGGCAGCCAAACTATATAATGCAATTATTTATTGAATTTTAGTTTATTTCATGGTTGGTTGGTTGGTTGGTCGATAATTTGTTAGCTGCTTTGGTTGACTGTTTGACTGATTGCTTGGACAGTTGGTTCTACTTTGCGATTATGTATCTTTTCTACTGTGTATCCTTTATTATTTTTGTCGACCGAAAAATCTGGAGCATTTGTTGTATGAAGGTTGATTTATTTCATGGTTCGTTGGTTTGACGATCATTTGTTAGTTTCTTTGGTTGACTATTTGACTAATTGCTTGGACGGTTGGCTCTACTACGAGATTGTGTATGTGTTGATCTGTGTATGGTATGTTTCTCTCGTTGCTGTGTCTGTTGTTTGAACTTTTGTTTATTTAATGGTCAATTGGTTGGTTGGTTGCACTTTGAGATTGTGTATGTGTTGTTCTGTGTATTGTCTGCTTCTTTGGTGGCTCGACAATTTGGTTCATCTGTTATTTGACGTTTAGTTTACTTTATGGTTGGTTGGCTGGTTGGTTGGTTGATGAATTGCTGGTTAGATTGTGACGTGGTCACGGACTTGAATTCACATCCGGGCACAAATGCACACCCACCATGCACACACACCCAATTTGTACTGGCAATCTGTCATCTTCTTCCCTCGCGAATGCGCACACATTTTCGGCTGGCAGTCACGTCGAGCCTGATCCAAACACTAACCTTCGCGATTCACCCGTTTCTTCCTGTCGGCAGAAGCGCCGCCTATTCGAGGCAGGATAGTTTCGGTTCGCCGAGCATTGATGGAGCTTCAGAGGGACCATCTTCAGAGGGTTTGTGTGTGTGTGCCGAGAACAATACAGAGACTAGTTGGCGTGAGAAGAGCCAACCAATCGCTTCGCGGGCAAGTGCCGTTGGGGCGTAATCACGCCAACAAGCAGGTGTGGTTGGAGGCAAGGTTGTTGTAAACGTGGCTTCTCCCTTTGCATTGTTTCCTTTCAATCCGACTCATTCCTGCCTCCGGTCGACCGGTCGGCCGGTCGACCAAACGCCAACATGCCAACTCTGTTTGTCCCAGCAAAGTACACATGCTACAGCTTTTGACCGCCTCGTGAGTCACAGCGGCCTGTGTCGGCATGCCCGACTAGCTGGTAGCGGACAGATGGACCAGCCCAACGCCGCATCTGCAGCGGACTTGGCAACAGCTGTACCGGCATCAGCAACAGCATCGATGCCATCAACATCAATTACAAAGCAATTACTATTATCATTCTCATCAGTATCCATATCAATATCACTTACAGCATCAGTATCACTATCAGCTTGCGTATCAATATCAATATCAATATTAGAATTAGAATCACTACCAATATCAGTTATAATATCACTATCATTCACACTATCAATATCGCTGTCTACATCTATATCTGTATCAATATTAGTATTAGGAGCAATACCTGTGGCAGCAGCAGTGTCTGTATCTGCCACCCGTATCCTTGTCGCCGTCCTTGTCAGTTTCAGTCCCAACATTCGCTTCATCAGGAATAGCACTATCAATATGAGTATTCATATCAATATCAATATCTCTATCCCTACACATATCCACATCAGTGTCAGTATCGACATCAGTGGTCAAATCAGTATTCGTATAAACGCACATCAACATTTATTTAAATATCTTTGCCAATATCAGTAGCGGTATTAGTAGTAGTACCGCTATCTGTCTCTATTCACATCTGTATCTCCGCAATTGTGTTAGCCTCTATA